AGCCGGAATCTTGTTTCTCTTTCCATTGGGGATGTAGGATGTGCAGGATCGTTTACGCTGCGTCGCTCTGGTTGATGAGCCAGCCGTCAACCAGGATGGATGATTCGGGTAGCTGTGATTTCCACCCCTCCATTGGGTTGTAGCTCACTAAGAGTAAATTTTCGTTTCAAGAAGCGGTCTATAGGGTCATTAAGAGCTGTGCCGTTGAGAAGCTGACAGTAGCCGGCTGACACAGTTATTCTAAAGGAAAACCGGAGCTTGGCCGGAGCACTCCGAAGGCATGTGGGGTACGCTTTCGGACAAACGCCGAGCGTATCAACGGGGCTTCGCCGTGGCTTTTCTTCGCTAATCCGACCCAGGCCGATGCGAGAAATTCTTGGTTCACGGAGTTACAGCCGGATCTGAAAAGACGGGCACCCCGCAACAGAACCCAACGCACACGGGGGGGGGCGGCGTGCTGTGTGGGGTGTGTGCGGCAGTGGTCGGTGGGGGGGAGGAGGGGGGGGAGAGTGAGGGTTGTTGAGGGAGAGAGATGAAGGAAAAAAAGGGAAAAAGGGAAAGAGGGAAAGAGGGGGGGGGGGGGGGGGGGGGGGGGGGGGGGGGGGCATCCAGAATTCGGGATTGCTACACGATCACACCGCCGGGCCACAGAACTTGAAACTTCGTAAGAAACGCGACTGGCGTCTTCTCAGGTCTTTACTGCTCGGTGACTAATCCGAGGCTGACTACTTAAGTTAGCGCTCATGGCTGAATATTCCTGCACCGGGCAGATCGGCCCTCCCGCCAGATGGTGGGGACACTCATGTTCATGTATTCGATGCATCCGTGGGGTCTTTTGGGCCCGGAAACTCGTATTCACCCGCCCACTCAACGATGCAGCACCTGTTGGAGTAGAGCTCAATTATAATCCAGGCGAAGCCACCCAATAGCGTCCTCACCCAGTCATCTCCAAATGGAACCGATAACACAGTCCTCCTGGATTCCATGCGACGCTTGCGCCAGGGTGGCGGTCGTGTCGCCCTGTTCAAGGGATCGCCGTGGTGGATATCGAGACCATATCTGACGCGAACTTCCAAGAGCTGCATGACCTCGGTGTCTTTGGTTTGAGCATAAAAAGAGAATCGGATAGACGCGAAGCAAACTTGAGGCCCTTTGCGAGGCTGTCGCGCAAACCGCGTCGAGGATCCAACATCTTTCCTGCTGGAAGATTGAGCTCTTTTGCGCAGCTCCAATATGGAGTGGTAATGATCAATTCCAGCCGAAATCTCGCAGAGAACAGAATGACTGAATAAAGAACGCGGGTTTACTAGAAACGATACTCACCCTACCAGTTCAAGTGATTGCAGACCACGTCGGCGGCATGCGAGCTTTGTCCAAAATGCAGCTTAACACAGAAACGAGCAGCCTGCAGGAGCCTGCCAAGCAGCCAGGATTTGAAGTCCTCGTTGGTCTTGCCGAGGCCTCAAAGGCCATCATCATGTTGTCGAAGTTCTATCGAATCTCCGACGTGGCAGATGGTGGCTAAGATTACATGGTGCCTATTGTCGAGGCTCTGGTCGAGACAGTCCGTCGTCGGTCAGTTTAGAGTAGCGACTGGCCTTATACTGGTGAGGGTTAACATCGCGTTAATCTAGGCAACGATATTGTCGAAGGTTTGAAGAGAATTAACGACGTTCAAATCCTCCGAAATCTGAGATGCTGGGTTAAGGATGAAGTGGCATAGTCGGGTTTGAGGGCGCGAACCCCAGGATATTCTATGACTACATGTAAGTAGCCGGGCCTTTGCGGCGAACAGGTACGCAGGCATCGAGTGCATATATCGGAACCCAACGTTTCCAATGCACTCCACGTGGCATTAGCGGAGTTTCATTATGCAGGTGGCTCGTGAGATTCCGGGGACATGAGAGTCTTTTGTTGTTCTAGGAGATATGGATTCCCAGCACGATGTTCTGGTCAATTGTGTTGGACAGCTTAAGTCCGCCGAGTTTTCCGCAAACGTCAGCAAGCTGCATGCTGAATGGTTAGGGCACCCCAGACTAGCCTACAGGGAAGCAACAGACCAGGGGGATAAGCAACGTGCATTGAACTAAAACAGTTTGACATCAGTAGAGCAGATCTCTAAGTCCCCACCCCTAGATCCGGAACACCCCCTTATTCGGAATAGGATTTCTCTATCGTACATCCCAGTACTATAACACCACCACTATCAATTAAACTACCACAATATTAAAATTTAATTCTTTTAAAAATATTAATATATTTATAATAGCTAAATATACCGAGCAGGATATTATTATAACTTTTAGCGATATATAGGCTAATTAACTTATATAATAAATATCTTAGGCTTAGGGGATTTTTATAACGACTTTTTATCGCTATTAAAATAGCAGTTTAACTAAAAAAACGTTAATAAAATACTTATAACGATTATTATTAAAATAAAAAAGGCACCTAGTTAACTAAATATTAATATAAAGCTCCCTCGGCTTCGTTTTAATTTATATTTAATTATTTTTTTTTATTATTAAAATCGTTTTTATAAATAGCGATCCTTAACTTTTTAATAAATATTAATTAAAATATTTTATTAAACGGAATTTAAAATTTAAAATATTAAAAAATAGATTTATTAAAAGTATCCGTATTAAAACTATTATTATTAAAATTTTATTAAAATATTTCGATTTATATATTAATTTTATAATTAGAATTATTTTATTATAAAATATATAAAATATAAACGAAACTAAGATAATAAAAAGTTAAGGGGTTAATAATTTAATATTAAATTTTAATAAAAAAAAAGTTCAATTTATATATACTATTTTAATATTTATATATAAATAACAATAATTAAATATATATTAATAATAAAAATAGCATTTTAACCTTTAGTTTTATTTAAAAATAAAAAAGTATAATAATAATAATTTCTTAACGAACTCGCGGTTTATAAAAACTAATTTTTTAATATAACGTATATATATAACGAGCGGGCTATTATAACGAGCGGGCTACTTTTAAATACCCTCCTACTATTTATATAAGTTAATTAAGCTATATCGTACGAAATTAATTAAAATTACTTATTAGCCTCTTTTTTAGAGGTCTCCTAAACTACTTAATATATTCGTATATTATATTTAGTCTTTTTATAATTACTATATTACCGCCCGCGCGATTTAACCCTTTTTATATAAATACTTTTTTAATATATATTTTTGTTTTTAGTATTAATAACCCCCTTTTCTATTCAGATTACCTCGGCCTTAATAATATTAAATAAGTTTTAAAGACGTAATTGTATTTTTTTAACCCTCCGGCGTTTATTTAATATCTTATTTACTATATAAAGCCTACGGTATTTAGTTTTAATAAAAACTAATTTATATATTAACTTATTAATACCTTTAGTTTATAAATTAATAACTTCGTATAAATATATTAATAAGCTATATTAATAACTATAAATACGTTTTTTAAATAAAATAAAGTTTTATATAACGTTATATACTATAGTTAATATTTTTAAGTCCTAAGAGCCTTAGTTATTTAAGTATAAGTTAAATAATATTAGCGTTTTTAATTTAAAATTTAAATAAGAAATAATTATTTTTAAATTAAAAAGTATAATTCTAGCTTATTTAAAACTAACTCGTATATTTTCTTTTTTTATTAAAATAAAAAAGGCTATTTTAAAAATAAAAAAAAAGTCGTTTTTAATAATATACGTAATCTATATCCGTATTATTTTCTCGATTTTTTTATTATATAAAACCTTTAATAAATTAAAATAATTAATATTAAAAAGCTAAAGCTCGTATAATAAATAAGGAAGTATATAAAAAGTAATAATACTACGCTCTTTATAATAATTATCGGATTTAATTAATTTATAGCTATTATAATTATTAAGGATTAAAAGCCGTTTAATACTTTTTATATAAAACTTTATATATTTTTTAAAATGCTTTAGCTAATTTAGGCCGATTTTATTTATAATCTATTTATTTTCGTTAAAGTGGATACGTTATTTAAGGGGGAATTAGCTATTAATATATTATAAAAAAAAGTAATATTTACTTTTTATAATAACGTATAAAAGTAACGCCTAGCTATCCGTATATATATTTTAAATAATAAAAACCTATTCTTAATTACTAAGCTATTTCGTACGAGGCTTTTTATAATAATTAAAAGTTATAATAACCTTTATATACAAAAGTATTCTTATTAAAAAGCCCGTTTTATTAAAATTATAAATATTATAATTATATATTCCGTACTTATTACGACCTAACACGCATTGCCAAACCAGGGCCCTGCCCCACAGGACCTACGGCGGCTACTACACTATATATATAGCAGTAAGAACTTAGACGGCCTCCTTTAGGACGGAAGAATTATAAATAAATTATATAACTACGATCGTATAATAAAATAAAAAACGGACGCCCGTAAATAAATAAAACGAGCGATTATAAAAATATAAAACGGACGACCGTTCGATAAATAGTCGGATAATAACGAATAAAATATTATAAAAGATATATTTACGATTAGGATTTATATATAAGATGGCCCGAGCTAGGCTTAAGGATAGACTTCTATAGCTTTTTTAATAATTAATTTTTATATTAAATCTAACGATTACTTTTAGCTATTTTTATTAAGAACTTATTTAATAAAATTATAATTAATTATTAAAGCCTTATCTATTTTACGACTTATAAATAATAGTTTTATTAAAACTATTCTTACGACGATTACTATTTATTAATATCGTAGCCCCGATTTTTATTAATATAAACCTTATTACGACTAGCTGGCCGTAATATTTTAATTATTTTTATTTAATAAGTCGATTTTACAAAAACTTATTAAATAGTACGAACGATATTTACTGAATCTTTTTTTAATAAAGGTAAAAAGCCTTAGGTTTTAAACGCCGAGCTGGCTTAAGCCGAAGGAGACGTAGAGATGCCCGATGTTAAATATAACTTTAACGGGGACGCGGTCCTTAATAAGATAATATACGCCCGGATACGCTACGTCGTTAACTAAGGTATTTAACGTAATAAGGAACTAACGGACCTTTTTAATACTACTATTACTTAATTAATAAAAGTTTAAATTAAAAACGACCGTAATATTATTAAGATATAAAAAATACTTAACGCTATGTTTAAAAAACTTAAGAATGAACGTTAAAAGGCCTTAAACCTCGCCGATTAGGTAAATATGCTCTAAGGTGCCGTTAATATCGTTATTACTTCTCTTAGCGGAGGACGATAAAAGTTTAAATTTAATGTACCCGTTACTTTTGACGGGACTTTTAGGACCTTGAAAGGATTTTTGATCTAAGTTAAGAACTTTTAGAACTTTTATTAAAGAGATTTTAGTAACGAAATTAAAAAGGTTGTATACGCCGTTAGTTTCTTTAGAGGACGAGCTTTTAAATAATTCGAGCCTTTTTAGGAGGAATATCTTAATAAAGAAACCTTTGACGAATGCTTATTTGAAGTACGAGATATTTATTATAATTTCGATAGGTTTAAAGAAGCCTTTAAATCGCTTTTTTAAGATCTAAATGAGAAACGATAAGCCGAGCGCGATATATTATAACTCCGGTAAACTAAATTAATAAAAGACTATTTAACTGAGTTTAGACGCTTTAATACTTAACTTAATTTTATTAATAATATTAAGATTTTTATATTTTATTAAGGACTAAAGGATAAGGTCAAGGACGAATTTACTAAGATCGACGAACTAAACGATTTCTTTTAATATATTAAACTCGTAATTAAAATCGATAACCGTTTTTATAAGAGAAAAAAGGAAAGGAAAGAATAACGATAGGAACCTAACTTAGGACATAAGTACTAATAGTAACCTTAACGCAATTTTAATTAAAGACACCGCTATAACGGGAATAATAACCCTCGATAAACTACTGTTTATAGGTAATATAGCGGACTTATAGACCTTAGTATAGCGAAACGAAACTAATCCCGTTAAAAGAAAGAATTTAAATGCTATAACTACGATAAGCTAAGATATATAGCTAGAGACTATAAATAGCCCAAACAAATTTAATAACGACCTGTCCTTGAGAAATAGATTAATATCACTTCTAAAGAAATACTTTATAAATTACTCTCCTAGACCGTATACTACGACGATAATTACCTTATCTACCGAGATAGTAAGGAATAATTAAGATAGTACCTTAAGAAACCCTCTAATAGAACCCTTATTATAGCGAGTAAATAAGAACGCCTTAAGACTATCGAAAACTATAATAAAAAATATATTTAAATACTATCGACAGTATACGAAGTAGTTAAGGCATAACCTATTAGCTTCCTTAAGCGAGCGTAAACCTTTACGATAATAAGAAGTAAATTAAAAAAAAAGATAATAACCAAAACTAAGGACGACTTACTTTAGCTAGAAGACGAGATCCTAACTTATAAAATACAAATTTTAAATAAATCTATTTATATAATGCGACGAGTACTTAATAAAATGATTTAATATTACGAATATTATTTTTTAATAATAAAAGATTATAATAAAAATTATATCCGTATTTTAACTAGCTATTATAAAATTAGCCGATTACTAAAAAAAAAACGACTAGACGTAAAAGCAATGCTCGCTTTACTTTAATAACGACTCTAAAAACAACTAAAAGCTAAGACGAAGGAAGACCTC